AAAAAAAAAAACAAATAAAAATTGTAGAGTAATGAGTAGTACTGTGTCAGATGTAGTGCGATACTGTTCATAACTCTAGAATAGTGAAGAGATGTAGCGCAGCGTTGGAGAGCAATTTTGTCTCTACTCTAACGTAATACGCTAGAGTAGCGCAACACTGGAGATGCTCTAAGAAACAGAAAATTGGTAGACAAGTTGCCACTTGTAATATAGTAATATCAGTTCAAGATCGACCCGTCATATATATATATATATTTTTAATATGTGTTAATATCATGAAATATTATGCTTTTATTTTTATTAAGAGCATGAGAATCCATTTTCAAAGTACTAGTATTCTTTTACTAGTGCACATGCGCGAACTATGTCAATCTATTATACAAATTATTACAAAAAGTTAAAATTCAACAATATAAGAAAATGAATTATTATCGATTGTGAAAAAATTTATTGTACACAACATTATATACGTTTCGACTGATTCTCTTTGTATTATAATATCTTTATCTTTTTTAGTTGATCAATTTTAAATTATCAGTATAAATGATGGTCGAAACTTTCAGTCAATAGTACATTACATATTGATTTAATAATTAACTACACTCTTATGACATATTACTTAATAAACACGACTCGCAATAAAATTGTTAAGTTGTACACTTAAAAAATTAATTTTTTATGTAATTATTATTACACGTAGCATTTTCAGATGAAATTTAATTTTAGTTTACACTTTAGTTATTATTTTCAAGTATTGACTATGGCTTTTAAAATTTTAAAAGTGCACTCAGCCAAATACATACGTGATATTTATATTTTTTCTTTCGATTTTTAATGTATTTAACGAAAAAAATAAGAGTTATTCAACAAAATTGTGAACCGTGGTATACACATACCATAAAAGCCTTGCACTAATAACAAAAAATAGTTTTATATGACCACTATGAGTATTAAATTAAAAATAAAAAAAAAATGAAATGATCATTGATTTATTGACAAAATTACCACCAAGTGTTGAATTTTATATAATAATCAAAATATTCAGTTATTCAGTACTGTAAACGACATTAAAATAAAATTAGTCTCTTTATATAGTTTTCTCTTTAATAATTATGGATCTAAATATAAATTTATGAATTGTCTTCTCATAAACAATCTATAGTTTGCATGGAAAG